GCGGTGCTTCCGCGGCCGACGCACCCACTTCCAAAGCAAGGCCGACGCAACGCCCTGGCCAGCAGGTGAGCGTGTCGGAGAGCGAAGACGAGGAGTTCGACATGATGTCCGAGGCGGCGACCTTTCGGACGGCGCCGACACTGCCCACGGGATCAGTGACGCCCGCCAAGGACGCCGACGGAGGCGGCGGTATTGGGGCCGCCCCCAGTGCCGCCGCCTCCGATGGCGCCTCGGCGATGCCCACGTCGGCGGTGGTGCCAGTGACGACGGCCGCCCTGGCAGCGGCAGCCACTTGCGCTAACTTCACCACGGAGCAGCGCCGTGGGTTGGACGCGATCACCCTCGCGCTCCACAACCTCCAGCTGAGGGGGCAGGCTGTGGGCGGCCGCGGCGGCCGAGGTGCGCGCAGCGTCGCCGACGGCGGTCGCTCCGTGGACGACGGGACCGCCAGTGATGCCCCGATTGCTGCGACCACGGGTGCCCTCAGCGGTCATGGAGGCAAGCGCCGCCGCCGACGCAGCAACAAGGCCGCCTACTGCCAGGCCCCCCAGTCGAGCGACGGCGCACCTGCCGCGCTCGAAGACGCCGAGATGATGACGGAGGAGGGCTACGCTGAGGCGGGCCACGTCCACTGCATGGGTGCGTACTGGGTCCCGCCGCAGCGCCTGGGCTGGTGTCGGAGGTGGACGGAGCTGGGCGACTGGAAGATCATGGCGGTGGAGTACGTGGACGAGCTCAGTTGCGGGGAGATGCGCCGCTATGCGGAGGCCAAAGAGTACAATCAGCAATGCCCCGGGCTGGGGAAGGGCAAAGAGGGGCAGGACAAGCTGTGCGCGTGCTCGCGCTGCGTGGCGGCGACGCAGAACACCGCCGAGCACGAGGCCGTGACGCGCGCAGCGCGCGCGAACAAGGGCCCATGCTCCATCGACCACGCCGCCAAGCGAGTGGCGAAGTTCCGTGCGAGCTTCGACTACATCAAGGAGGGCATGGACGTGCTGGTGGGATTCGCGCTCTCCGAGGAAGGCTTGCTTGCCCTGCGGAGGTCAACGGAGGGCGTGGGGGTGGGCATCGACCCCGAGAGCACGGGCGCCCCCCCAGCCACGGAAGCAGTGGCGGATGAGGTTGGTCGCCCGATGGCGGGGGAGGTGGGGGTGGTGCCAGGGCCGCCCCGTGCGCCACCCCCGCCCCTCGAGGAAGAACCTCCCCGTGACGAAGAGAGCGACCCCCAGCCCGACGTCGATGCTGAGGGCCAGGAGCACCAGCTGACCGACGCCAAGACCGTGGAAGAGGTCACGGACATCGAGCCCCTGCTGCGGCTCGGCCTCTCCAAGAAATCGCTGAAGCGTATGGCGCGGGCCTGTGGCGTCCTCAAATGCGAGACCATGCGCGCCCACATGCTGGGGGGCCTGGGGCCCATCCTGGAGAAGAAGGAGAACATTGTGATGGCGCGGAGGCGCAGGACGGGGTCCAGAAGTGGCTCGACGCGCTGAATGAGGAGGCAGAGGGGGATGTGGGGAGGCTGAAGAAGGGCCTCCTGGAAGCCTCGGGGATTGCGGACGCACACCTGGGACACAAACGTGCCTGGAAGGAGGGGTGCCAGGGCGACACCGCGGCGCAGGGGGCCTACCGCCGCATGGGCGACTACACGGGCCAGTTCTACCGTGGCAAGGGCTTCACGTTCAACATGTACTACAAGTGCTCGGCCAACAAGACCTGGGACAATCCCAGGGGATGCTGCTCGGTGATCCGATCGGGTCGCTGGTCACAGCTGCTCTCCTGCGCACAGGAGGCGGCGGGGGAGACGGGCCAGCGCTGGTGCTGCCACTGCGGTGCGCGCTACTCGACCTCCCACGGCGTCTGCATCGAGTTCATAGAGGAAGAGTTGAACCCGCCACGTGCGTACTACATGCACGCGGATCACCCATAGGAGGACATCCGTGACTTGAAGGCCCTGCTGCGCTACGACAAGCTCAAGAGGGAGGGGATGCCAGTGTTCAGTGCGGTGGACCTCCTTAAGTACCTGCCCAAGGTCGAGCCGCTGGCGGTGGGCACCGTCTTCAAGCGCTACGCTCCACACCAGCCACAGTGGGAGGGCCACTATGTGCTGATGGAGGGGCTCTCCTGGGAGAGCCTGGCCGAGTTCAAGTGGACCGACCTCTACGCGCAGGTCGCCTGGGGACTGAACGACCCAGAGTGGGCGGGCTACAGCAAGAAGGCGCGGAACAAGGCCAAGAGGTGGCGCCTGGAGATGGCGCGCAGGGAGCTGGCGCTCTACGAGCGCCGCCGCAACCTGCGAGGGGGGCAGCCTCACGGGCGGCGGGGGTGCCACAGGGGTCGCCCCGCGTGCCACCCCCGCCCGCGCCGCCAGCGCCCCCCCAACGGGTGGGGCCCGCGGCAGCCAGGACCCGCCACCACCGCCTGTCGGAGCCCCGCCAGCGGCCGCGGCCATCATGGCCCCTCCGCAGCCGCCGCTGACGGCTCCCCCAGCGGTGCCGCCGCCGCCGACGGACCCGCCGCGGCAGACGGACCCGCTCCCGCAGCAGATCCCAACTGCTGCAGCCCTGAACGTGGCCCTCGGTGAGGACCTCGAGCGCCAGATCTTTGGGCCCTCAGGGCAGGCGGGCGGCAGTGGCGACCTCGGTGGGGAAGTGCAGGCGCTGCCGTCGCAGGTCTTCGCGGCCATTGCGCAGGGAGCAGGCCAGCCTGCCTGAATGATGAAGCCCAGCAGGTACCAGGCCCTCGGCAGGCCACGTGAGTTCAGGTCAAGATGTCTTGCTTGCCACTTTCAGTAGTGTGGCGTGCCCACTGACACCCCCCTCGCGTGGCTGCACCTGTGGCTTTAGCCTCTGCTCGGCGTATGGTCACCCGTGCGCCTAGCTACTCTGGCCCGCCAACTGGCTTGCCATCTTGGCCTCCTCTCACGCTCGGTTGCGCCCGTGGGCCTCGTTGGCGGTGCTGGGGCCGCCCCGTGTACTGCCGCGTCGCCGTCGGGCGCCTGGCCATTTTGGCCTGCCATCCTGGCCTCCTCTCGCGCCGTCTTGCGCTAGTAGGCCTCGATGGCGGTGCTGGGGTCGCCCCGTGTGCTGCTACGCCGCCGCTAGCGCCTCACTTTGGGCTGTAGGGGCCAGCTGCCCTCGGCCAGGCGCCTGCCGCTGCGTGCGCGTCAGACCCGCCCTTGGCTTGCCATTCTGGCCTCTTCTCGCGTCTTCTCGCGCTAGTTGGCCTGGATGGCGGTGCTGGGGTCGCCCCGTGTGCTGCTGCGCCGCCGCTGGCGCTTCACTTTGGGCCGTTGGGACCAGCTGCCCTCGGACAAGCGCCTGACGCTGCAAGCGCGTCAGACCCGCCCTTTCACACAGAAGAGGTGCCCGTTACATACTGGCAATGAGGCAGCCACAAGGGCGCCCTTCCCTAGGTGGCTGAGCCGTGGTGATGTGGTGCACGAGGCCGCCAGTCGTAGTAGTAGTAGTAGTAATAGTAGTAGTAGTAGTAGTAGTAGTAGTAGTAGTAGTAGTAGTAGTAGTAGTAGTAGTAGTAAGTAGTAGTAAGTAGTAGTAAGTAATAAGTAGTAAGTAGTACGTATTAAGTAGTAGTAGTAGTAGTAGTAGTAGTAGTAGTAGTAGTA